TATTCGTTTGATGTTAATAAGTTGTACCATATTTCCCCTTCTTTCTCTGGGTATTAGTGCCGACGTGGAAGGTTTTGAAAAAAATTGTGTACATCCTTTGTTCAAATACTGCAAATAACTTTTACATAGTAATAGTATGGTAGGCTGTCTGTTGCAAATTCCTCACAAAAAGACGAGGCAAAAGTTCGAACATTAAATGAATCCAGTGGCTCCAAACCAAGTTTTTTTGCAAGATTTAGATCTGATCCAGCAATAAGCTGATAGAATATATGGTAATTACGTTCTCGGCCTTGCTGTAGACATATACGTGATTTCTCTAGTAGATAATGAGAAACATATCCACCAGCGACTGCATACTGAAGCTTTCAAGTTTAAAACATGTAAAACTGTTATATTAAACTGAGTACGAATAGTTCTACAGAGAATGGAATGAACCTGAGAGTCAAAATGAATTTCAACAAATTTTCCGAATCGACTGCTGTTGTTGTTACGAAGTGTCTTTGCATTTCCAAATGCTTCTAATATTGGATTAGCTAAAAAGTTAACCTATATAGCAATTATGCTTTAGATTTAAAATTCCAAGCAAGCAGGGTAAGAAGAAAAGAGAATTACTTTCAAGAATTCGTTCTTCAATGGAACCCGAAGATGAACCCCAAGAAGCACAAAGGTAACGTAGAATATACTTTTGGGATTCTGTTTTACCTGCACCGGACTCACCGGACACTATAACTGACTGACTTTGCTTGAAACGTCTCATGTCCCGGTATGCCTTGTCGGCTAAAAAACTGTAATCAGTTTCACTTTTATAATTCTTACTGCTATTTTTGTGAGCTTGAAAGCTGTATTAAATTTTTTGATTCTTCCGCCAACTTACCAATCGCAAAAATATGTGGTGGTAATGTGCCTAATGATTTGCCTTGATACTTTTTTATCATTTTACTGCTGTACAATTCAGGCACTTGTTCATATGGGTTAATTGAGATTAGTATATTTGCAACATAGGTCTGGAAAAAATAATAAAAATTTTTTAGTGAAAAAAGAAGAAATTTTACAATACTGTTTCTTAAAAATTTGACAAAAAAATATTTATATAAAAAGGTAATTCAGTACATATAAAAATCCTGAAACTAAAAAAGTTTAATTAACATAAGTGGTAAGTTTTAAAGCTTACATAAATCTGTTTCCGAGCATATCGAAGTCGACAGTTATTTAGAAAAGTGCCCTCATTTAAATACATTAAAGCGCCTTAAAATTAAAAATTATAATTTAAATTGAATGTGATCTTTTCTTTTCTTCAATATTTTTTCCAAACTATGAAGGCTCTGCTAAAAAGTGGCTTTATGACAAGGTTTCTTCTTCGTTAATTGACTAAATTATATTACAAACTTACAGTTATCATCAACGTCTTTAGTTTGATCATCTTCTGCCGGAAACACCTGATCGTATGCTACTGCAACCTAAACTTCAAGAACACTTGTAAATACAACGTTTATACGATAAGTCTGATAGCACTTTAAACAAAATTGATCCCGTTTTCTTTTGCCGTTTATAAAATTTGAACCCTTTCAAAGAAAAGAAGCAACTAGCTAAAAATATAAAACTGAACAAACTCTTATAGACCGGAAAATCATCGACTGCAATAAAAAAAACGTACAATCTGATTGGTGCCAATCAACTGAACCTTCATAATTGTTGTACCAATATCGCACAGCTTTCCAAGTACGAAACCCTCTACCGGATCCGGTGCCCAGACAAGACGTCCAAATCCCTCTGCAGTCACTTTTGTCGCCATCAAGACAAACTGTCACTAAATAAAGTAGTCCCATTTCTGATAATACCACTAGTTATGACAGTTTCATAATTTTGGATAAGTGAGCAATCAGCAACAGAACCGCCATAGAATGATTAAGAGAACGTTCCTAGATTTAAAAAAAGCATAAGGACAATAAAAAATGAAAAATTTTTCATTTCTAATCTATGACAGTAGAGATGACTAAAGTTGAAAACAAGAAGTTGTTGAAATGAAAAATGAACATTGTAAAAAAACTTATAATAGAAATAAAAGTTTATATAATTATATTTCTCAAAACAAATCTTTCTTAAAGCCACACTTCCTACCTCACACATTTTACAGTGATTTCTTTAGAAAGACAAAACTAATGAACGTTCTGCACGTTTTTAACCGGTTTTAAATACTAAAAAAGAAAGTTATTGCTAATCTTTTATCAAAAAAACCCTGAATTTTTAACTTCAACAGCAGGTACCAAAATAAAATCTCATATATTTTACGGTTTCAAAAGCAAGATGTCAACTGGTGACTGTCTATTCCTCAGAACTTTAAGCATAGCAAAAAAAAACGATTTTTCATTCACTGTAGGTAGAAGAAAGCAAAAAGAAAGCAATAAGTAACCCAATTAAGCTGCAGGAAAGGTGATCTAAGCTGTTGCCAAAAGATTTGACCAAAATGGGATATATGCTTTTTTAAGGGAGAAGCAAAGATTTGAATTTTGTCCTAACCAACAGTCCAAATAACGCCGGCTATAAGCTTTTTTTTTTTATTTGATGAAAAGTAAACAGTTAAACAATTGTAACCCGTATTATTTGTTTGTTCAGTAACCTATTCTCATCATCCCTTTACCCTCCCTTAATTTATTTGTCCAAAACTAACACAGCTTTCATTTAGGCCTGTTACTCATACATAAACATAGTGCTTGTTGTCACCAACAATTTTTTTTTTTTGCACATAGCCATCATCTATTTAAAGATTTCCGCCAAAAAAAAAATCGATTTAGTCTAAAGACTAATTTTGTTTGGAGTAATTTCGTATTTTAGCTTGCTCTTACCAGGCTTAAACAATACTAAAGTATTTGAAAAACTGGCTACTTCACCCAAATTTACGGGCTACAAATGATTCTATTATTGCAGCACATTACAATTTTCTGCATATGCATAATTACCCGTTACACAGGTTTTTTTTTTTTCTTTTGCCCTTTCATTGAAAACAATTTTTATTTTACTTTTTTTTTTTTTTTTTCTCCCAACAACAAATATTACTAATGCCTTATTTATTTTTTTTGTGATTATAAAATAAATATTTCAATTATTTCAATATCACACAGGTCTATGATGCCAAAAAAAAGGGGTAATTTTGTTAGTGTTTACTAGCAGCTTTAGAATATCAACAATAAAATGTAAGAATTTAAAAAGAACAGTGAAGCAAAAGCATATCAAAAGTGGTTAATTGTCCTAAGTTCAAACAAATAAGAGAAAAAAAACTAATAAAGAAAAACATCTTTTTTTATTTGGT